AGTGTGGGTGGCAATATATGCTGCAGGATTACTTTTCATACCTGCTGAAATAAAGTGTCAAGAATGCAGTTTAGCAAAAAGACCAAGACCCCCCATGCTTAATAACTACAGAGATAAAAGAGAATCATATTTTACCTACGAGAGTGGACGAAATTATCTAAATTGTTGCTGTATGACAATAAAAAGTGAAAATGTCTATCTTAGTGTGCCACTTTTTATATAATTTAGCAGGTAGCACTTTTGTAACAGTCTTCTTAAACATTAATACAAAGATAACACCCATTAGTCGATACCAAAGGATACAAGTGTTACACCTTAAGAATCTACTTTCCAAACCCACCTCCCTGCGTGTGATTTTTTTAAATGCTGTTCATTTACATGACAAAAATATTTTTTCACTTTATTCAAGCAAGCGGAAATTTGGACAATCTCGATTCAAGCTAAATTTGTAACACCTAAAGAATATCTGAAGGTGGAGTTAGCCATGTACTTATGTAACACTTCCTCATATAAAGCTGGCTGCTCTTCAGTTGATAGCATTCAGCTATCACAGCTCCAATCACTAAGCTCTAAACATCTGCCAGAATCCATTTACCAGGTGAGTATTTTACATTTTATTTCAGTAATAATTTCAGAATCTCACAGTATTTGTGAAGGTTAACATATCTTTAAAATGTAATTCTTAAAACCCCCAGAAATCACTTTATTTTTTTCTTTCTTTCTTTTTATTGCACCTAAAAGCATAATTTTGTGGTTTTTTGATTTGTTTTTTGCTTTTTGACAATGGAAACTGTTGTTTAAAATTCTTTAACCTTGCCACAGTCAGATGCAGGTCAATTACCTGTTCATGAACATTTTTCAAAATCATTGTGCAAGCGACTATTTTCATATATATTGTAAAATGAAGATCCCAGATATTTTAAAAGATGATCTAATTATGATATTTGTACTGAACACTACACATTTTAATGCTGTATCTAAAACATTCTCCTGCCTCTACCATAAAACAGTTGAAGCAGTCTTTCAATCTAACCTTCATATTTAGGAAAGCTACAAAACATGTAGTTATGCTATGAGAGAAAGGTTTTGAGAGTGTGAAGAGAAAAACACTGTATTGTGTTTATTTAAAATATTTGTAGTTATCTGTGTTTTTGCCTCTTTCCCTCCATCTGACAGCTGAGATAGGCTACAGTTAGACATGTGGTCAAAAATGGATTATTATTAGAAATAATCACTCTTCAGGTTTGAATCCTGTGGTTAAACACAGGATGAAGAAGCTCATCATTGATGTGGATGCTGGGGTGGATGATGCTATTGCCATCATGATGGCCCTCTCCACACCTGATGTGGAAGTTTTGGGGATCACCTGCTGCTATGGCAACACGTCTGTGGAGAATGTCCTCAGAAATGTCCTTCGTGTCCTGAAAGTCTGCGACAGGCTGGATGTAAGTTTGTGTCACGCTGTAAGAGAGCCCTTCTACACGAATATGTTCGTAGATATGTTCTTACATCCAGCGTATAATACTCATACAGATTCCAGTGTACCGTGGCTGCTCAAAGCCTTTGGTGGACCATGAAAACCATGCAGATAATTTCTTTGGATCAGACGGGTTTGGGGACGTTCCAGATCCACACGCACCAAGCCTGGATCTGGTGCAGCAGAAAAAAGCCAAACAGGCCATTGTTGACCTTGTGAACGCAAATGATAAAGAGGTGAGTGTCTGCACCATTAAGCTTCTTACATGAATGAAAATTACTTTTTATAAATGGTTTGTGGTTCTGATCAAATGTTTTATTTAAAGGCCCAGTCACAGATTATTTCAGCAGACATGCCTTGAAGTGTTCCTAAAAAAGTATGTTGACATTTAGCTGAAAATTGTTGAACTCCCACAGATGAAATTGCATCACTTGACTAATAAAAACTTGTTTTACCCAGAGCTAATGATTTAATTGCTTTTTCATGGTGACCAGTAAAAATGGATGTAGACACAAGGATATCATCTGTTGGTTATGGATTGCAAAGGGTACAATGCACTTGATGTGAAAGAAGCCAACTCATTGCAAAGTATCACAAAGTTGCAAAACACACATAAAAAAGCATAACTTGAAGCTTTAATGCAGTTTAAATTGGGAAGTCATAAAAATTATCTGGCAGTTGTCATGAAGTTTCAAGTGCTGAATAGACAAACTGCACCACTGGGCCACCCAAACCAGTTTAATTCTCAATTCATTCTAAACACATTTATAAATGATAATTCTTTAAAAAAACTTTTCAAGGAAAATTATTATTTTACATCTGAGGGTTTGTTTTCAGCTCAAAGGTTGGTTAGGGGGCAATAAAATCATCAATTCAACTCTGTCTCCTGCCTTCAGGTGATCCTCATATCCACTGCCCCCCTCATGAACCTGGCTGCAGCAGTGCAGTTGGACCCTTCCTTGCCTAAAAAGCTTAAGGCGCTCTACATCATGGGGGGAACCATTGAAGGTGGTCTCCTCACAGAGTATTTCCTCTGTCTCTCATTATCCATTCGTGATTTTAGTCTTATAAATATCTGATATATATGAGAATGAGTGTGTGACTGTGCTTGTTTCTGTGTGCAGCCAGGGGTAACATCACAATATGTGGAGAGTTTAACTTTGTGTGTGACCCAGAGGCTGCTTACATCGTGTTGGACCGCTACACATGCCCAACCTACATCGCTACCTGGGAGTTCACCTGCTGGAACTGCCTGCCATGGGTGAGGAGGGAAACAAGCTGAACGAGGGCTTCAGTTCTGTTCCAATGAATAATGTCTGAACAGTTTTAAAGTTTGAAAGGATCTCTGCTAACACTGAGTTTGTGTATAAAGTGGTATGTGAAAATATCTTACAGTCTTTTTTTCCCTTAGTCTTTCTGTGACACCTGCATTATGCTTTCTGAGGGACAACAGTGTGGGCGGTTGGCGAATTCAGCTTACTTAGCCGAGGTAACGGCCCATTTGTCTCATCTTTTTCCTTCACAGTCCGAAGATGTGCTTGGGCTACTCCACTCTTACCCTTCTCTCTTTGGGGATGTGCCCTCGCGTACTAATGTCTGTGAACATGATATCAATGTTGGTGATGCAACCCCAATCAAACAGCATGCGTACCGCTGTCCCATGGGAAAGTGCGAGGTGATGAAGAAGGAAGTCAGTTATTTAGTGGAGAACGGTTTAGCACAACCAAGCCACAGCCCTTGGAGCTCCCCGTGTTTACGTGTCTGATGGCACCCCACGTTTCTGCACCGACTACCGGAAGGTAAATGCAGTGACTGTCTCTGATTCTTTTCCACTTCCTCATAATGAGGATTGCATTGACAATATAGGTCCTGCCAAATACATTTCCAAACTGGACCTTCTTAATGGGTATTGGCAGGTGCCTCTGACCTCCAGAGCCTCCGACATTTCTGCATTTGTCACACCCGACCATTTCATGCAGTACACCGTGATGGCGTTTGGCATGAAAAATGCTCTGGCCTCATTTCAGCGTTTAATGCAGCTGGTGTTGGGGGATGTGCCTCAGTGTAATTTGTGCTTGGATGATGTAGTGATATACACGGACACGTGGGAAGAGCATGTGGCCATCTTACAATCAATGTTTCAGCGATTGGCCGAAGCCTCGTTAACTCTAAATCTCGCTAAGTGCGAGTTTGCCAAAGCGACAGTCACGTACCTGGGAAAGCAGGTGGGTTTTGGGCAGGTTCGCCCGGTGGAGGTAAAAGTCGAGGCTGTCCTCAGCTACCCGGCCCCAACCACTAGGCGGGAGCTAAAGCGGTTCTTGGGCATGACTGGATACAATCGCTGTTTTTGCAAGAACTTTGCAGGAGTTGTGGCCCCTTTGACGAAGCTATGTAGCCCCCAAATCCCTTTTGAGTGGTCAGGGGAATGCCAGCATGCATTTGAGTCTGCAAAATCTCTCCTTTGCAGCGCCCCGGTTGAATGTTACATCTGTGAGGCTGTGGGAGTGTGTGGGCGTGGTGTTGTCCTCTCTCTCTCCTCCTCCTTCTTTATTGCCCCTCCCCTGTTTCTCTCTGCCCCTGCCTTCTCCTTTAGGACACACCTGCTGCTCATCTGCCCTCGCTTACCACCAATTACCCTCCAGAGATGATATAAGCTGGAGGAGAGCAGTGTGGGTGTGGGAGAGGCTTTTGGTGGATTTCCTTTGTGTCGGTCGGTCGAGCGAGCAGCGTTGCTGTCTTTTTCTGTTGAATCCTTGTTGTTATCTTAGTTGAAGCAGCCACTATCTTTTTCTTTTGTTACTGCTTATATGATTATTAGGTTAATTAATTACAATAAAGATTTATTTTGTGTTAAACCCCTCTGCCTGGCGTCCTTTTCATTTCAACCCGGATCCAACTGTTACTGTCCCCCACCCTCTTCGCCTAGCCTTCATGTGGGGGCGTAACGCAGTAATATCCAGTGAGGTTGGAGTGATTTATGTTTGTATACACGTGAATTTTGTAGTATTTTTGCAATATTTCAGAGAAGTAGAATTAAACAAATGAGATGATTTTATTTACCTGCAAA